GGAGGCCGAGAGCTACCCACACACACCGTGTCACATACCCACCAACCAGGACCCTCCCAACCTTCATCGTCGACACTCGGCTGGGCTGGTCATGGTAGTCCGGCAAGCGAAACTGACATGAACAAAACTTCCCAGTTGCGATGGAGAGCCATTTGGGGGTGCTATAGACACCATCTCTCACCATTTCATGATCCTGTAGACAGTTGATTCACCACCCCCTCCGCCGCGCCGCCATTTGGATTGCAAAACCTCTCAGTTTGTTTCTTTTTCTCATCAATCATCTATACTATGTCTACATTTGGCATTTCCTCCAGCACCTCCTGCGGCACAGAGCGCGGCACCCATCCCAGGACACCGGTTCTGGGCGGCTTCGCCGCGCTGCGCGTGCCACAGCGCACGGCCATGGCCTTGGACCTCGTGGGCTGCAGTCCGGTGGGCGAGGACGGCCGCTCTGGGGGGGGAAGGACTCGATTGAGTGCCGGGTGAGGTGGAGACGGCTCCTCTGCGAGTGACTGCCGTGAATGGTCGTGTGGGTGGAGAAATAGTAGACTTCAGATGGCTCGGTGCTTGACACTGACTGAGTCAACCTGACAGATGGTCAATTGGAGTCAAACTGTGCAGAGCATGCTACAACCAAGCATTCTTTGGGCAACAGTCAGGTTCCAGTTGTAGGAGCTTATTTTTGGAAAGCATACCACATCCCATGACCTGTTGATATAGGGTTGAACATGTTCTTGGTTGCTGTGCATTTTTCCACCTGAATCTTTTGTTGAACAAACTTGCCTCGGCACTGCGGGGAAGCGATGCCCAAGCACATCACTCCATTTGTTTAATGACCGACATAACTCACCCTTACCATCCCCTACTATATGGCAAAAGGCAAAATCATCTTGCGCGCCGTAGGAGCTCGAAATCTTTGAAGCCTCAGTGCAGAGGGGAAAGGCGCCAGAGATCTTGCAGATCGGTACTGACCAGGATCGGATGCGGTTGAAGCCTTGGGGCCCTGGGGTGTTCATTGTTCAAGTGGCCCGGGACCTCAGTCCTCAACCACAGATCGCACTTCAAATCTTGCGACTGACCCTTAGGCAAGTTGCGCTGCACAAAGGAACATTGTCACATAAGTGACACATGAGTGGCCATTACACAGGCATATCGGTTTGTTGGGAGGCCAGGGGGTGTGCTGTGCACACTTGAACCAGCACAGGAAAGTATACTAGTAGTATCTAGTAGTACCGAATTGTTTGATATGTCCGTTCAGGCCCCGGCTTCTTCTATATTTCAAGGGTGGAGAACTCCCATGGAATGTGGCCATGGGTACCCGTGGCCACCCATGCCAAATCCCTTTCCTGCCCTTGGACATGAGCCTTTTCCCTTACAAGTGGTGAGACGAAGGACCGGCGTTCTGCCAGCGTCCGATGCCAGGAGGGTGACTACCGGGACGTGGCCGAAACCGAGAAGGGCACGGCTGGCATTCCCCGGCGCGTGGGGATCCCAGCCGCTGCGGCCTTGAAGGCGGTGATGCAACGAGAGCAGATTGCAGGGCCCAAGGCGGGGTGATGGAGAGTGAGTCGAGTGTCAAAAAGGCATAAAAAGGCAACCCAAGCCTTAAAACGATGTTAAGTTGCATATTATATAGTATAGTATATTCTGTTCATTCGGCTCATTTTCCGTGGTCAACCAGGGCACCTCTTTGTTGGACCCACGGCCATATCATATCATTCACCCTACCGCACTGAACCTGGGTACCACGCGGACAGCGGTGTTGGGGCGTGGCTAGACCGACAGCAAGCCTGAGCCAGACTCTGGATTCGGTGTGTGGTCTCAGACTTCCGATGCATGAATCCATGCCCACGATCAGCTGAAGTGGAATGGGACAGATCAAGCGGATGGTCATTTTCTCTCAGGAGCTTCTTCTGGGCCTCTCGCGGCCTGCGGCAATGGGCACGTCACTGGCAGAGAAGTGGGCGCTCTTCAATTGGGTGGGTGTCTCCAAGGCGGGCGCTTTGACCTGGGAGGCGGAGAAGTTGCTCTCCCAAGCAATGAATAGATGATAAGCACCGACATTTGGTTGTTTTCCTCTCGTGGTGACGCCTTTATGGTGGTTGGGCCCAACGGGGCCTTGCATATTTGTATATATTTGTATCTGATCTACGGCTTTAACGTGGAAAAACGATGCAAATGGCACGCATTTCCCTGCCATGTGACAGAAAGGCTGTCATCCGAGTGGTTCCCCTCACTGAGCATTTGAGACAAGCGAGGTATGTGCAGTCCAACGTGTATGCGGCTGACCCGCTCAAAACTCTAAAAACCATCCGGAAACTCCTTGCTATCCTAGCCAGGTAGACACTCCCAAACAGCGCCTGTATATATCAATGAAGGATCTTAAACCGTCAAACCTGCATTTTCGACTTGAAGTGGCAACCACCGAATCAACCCACCTGAACTCCAAGTTCGCCTGAACTCTCACCAGGCAGGTGGCTGCGCCTTGGCGGGTGGAGACCCCATCACCGAGAAGCTGATGCCCAAAGGTACTTTGCAGAGTTGTCAATGCTTCAAGGCCCTGTTCGAAGAAGTCCGTGGCGGTGGGGAAGAAAGGGCGTAAAACCGGGGGTCGGTTAACAGCCCACTGCGGTGTGGTCGGTCCGACTGTCCAATGTGGGGTTGACCAACGAATCCGGTGGGGCCAGGTGGAGTGAGACTTCGGGCCTACTTGGTGCACACCTGTCATATATCCCAGACACTCCATGTATGCCATATTTGATCATATTTGCCTACATTGGGGCAGTTTGTGGGGCCAATGTAGGCATATATGCTATACATGGAGTGCTTGGGTATTGTATGATATTGTATGTATTTGTATGTGAGATGGCGCAGATGCAGAGCATCAGACCAGCCCTGCGGCGCGAGGTGTCTCCAGCGCTGGAGCAGTGGCGTCGCTTAGCAGCCCAGGGGGCATCACTGACATTGGCCTTGGCGGGTGGTCGGACGCTCGGACCGTTGGCGTTGTCCATGCTCCGTGTGGGGTGGTGTGACACCCAACAAAGGAGTATGAATAGTGAGCTTCAAGACAAGATGCAAATTGCACTCCCGTTTGTCCCCTTCGGGCTGCTTTCTCAGTCATTTTGGGGAGCGATTCAGACTAACCTCAACCCACAGCTCAGACCGAAACATGTCGAGCAACATCAGCTTCGTTCGACCGAAATCGGTCGAGCAACGGCTCCCAGGAATCTTTCGCCTCAGCAGGCTGCAGCAACGGTGGGGAACAACTCCCCTGCGCTGGGTGCTTTGGGAGTGTCGGTGTCTTGGCCTTGAAAGTCTTATAAGTTTAACGGTTTAACGTCGTGTTTAACGTCTAAACTCCGGAGTTTGTAGTGGGCCTCCTGCCAGCTCTACAGCTTTCTTGTCGGGGCCTGCGGATGCGATGATGTTTTACAGGGGCACGTTGTAGGTTGTACAGTTGTACCGCCCGCAGGAAGTACTGAGCACGTCTAAGTGCCACAGTGCCAATCCACGCCGCAATTCCAGTCCTGCTCTCTTGTGCAGCCAGCTACGCCAGAGAGCCGCTGGTTTGGTTTGGCCAAGAGCCTGAGTAGAGCAGGTCATGGCTCCAGCAAAACAAAGCAACCCCTAGCAAGTGTCAGTCAGTCATATATCTAAATTCATCTAAATTCTAATATATTATATATAACATTATGTATATTATGTATAGAACCAGATCAAACATGAACACTCCAAGGTCTCCTGTGCATTCCTGTTATAAAACTTTCTCCAGCTTTTCAACATCCACCTTCCATCGGTGCGGAGGGCTCGGCTCGCAGCGGCTCGGCTCGCGCCAAGGTCTTGGGCAAAGCAGGGCCAAACTCCCCTTTGGAGGTGCATCGTCAGGCAGGTTTGGTGCTGGCCTTCTTCCCATAGGAGATTCAAGCGGGTTCTGAACTTGCTAACAATTTAATTAAGTCTCAATTACAGTGTAAGTATCCTTATGCCACATCAAACTGGCTGAAAAAGCTGCAGCACTTGCATTGTTGGATCATCTATTGTGCCGGGCCAATGAGGACCGGTCCTGCTGACATCGGATTGAATGCGAAGTCCTCAGACCAGGCAAACGACAGTCTAACAACCATAAACGGACAACTGCGCAAGTACTGAGCTGCACATGTTCTTGGGATCACTGAATCTGGAAGCTTCAAAGGGGGCAACCCGATGTCAGCATATTTTTTTCATTATTTCAATTGGCGCATCGCCATGGCGCACGGTGAAAAGCAGCGGAGCGCGCAGCACTCCGTGGGTGGTGCGCGCTGCGCGACCGGTCGGGTGAGTGCTGGTCGACCGGTGAGTGCTGGTCGGGTCGTTCGATGAGCTCGGAGCTCGGAGACGACCAAAGGGAAGCCCTCTTGTGAAAAAGAGGTCTGAATCAATCCTGGTGTCCTGAATGATGGAGGTGTTGAGTTGATTGATGACTTGTGTTTGTGAACTGTTGGTAGGATGCCCCTCGTCCAAAAGACACAAATAGACATAATTTGAAATATTGAGAGAATCACAGCTCTCTAGCTTACCAAAAGCATCCGTCAAGCTTGTTGATGAGTGAGGTTGGGAGTCAGCACCTGTGGTACCAAGTTCAACCACAGGAGCATTGTTGAGAATAGTTGCTGTTGAATTCAGTCGTTGGGTTGATAAGCTTGTTGTGTTGGCGTTTTCACAGTTCTGGCTGATTGAATCCTGAAACGTGTTCTGTTGCCTTCTTCAGATGGACGAGGGCGGGTCATATATACCATACTAAACGATGCTAGTGCTGGATTGTTGCTGGTTGTTTCTAAAAGCTTTGTTCCAGGATGCTCAACCTCTTCACTTCCGATTTCTGCTCAACATATAGGGCGCATATGCTATCCTTCAACGATGCATCTATAATACTATATTATATATTATATATATTTGGGTGTTCTCTCCCGTTTGTTGCGACTCTTATTATCATGGGAGCGTGTCTTTTGGTCGGCGGCGAGGCCCACAACATCGATGACGTTTGCATCGAATCGCTCAGTGCCCCACGGCTGCGCACGGGTGCGCGCTGGCGCACGGGCTCAGACAGGTTGCGACATGTTCGTTGTTGGAACGCGAATCATAGAAGCTGGGCCTCTCTTGTAGAGGAAAAGGGTCTTCCAGGGGCTTGTGTTTCGTTTCAGGACTTCATGTAGTGTACCCGTCTTCCCTTCCATCCAGCCGCGTCAGTACCATATATATATATATTTGTCTAGTAAGAAAATGTAAGAATTGTAACAAGAGTCTTATCCAAGGTTTTCCGAAAAGCTTTGACACTTTGAGGTGGGTATTCCTCGAAACGACCACAGTTGCGCCGTTGGACGTCGTATATACGTATATGGGGGGCTCTTCGTGATGGGCCGAAGATCTTCGTCTGAACCTCGAGAAGAAGCCGAGGTGAAATTGAATCGCCAGCGACTGGACCAGTCCTCTGGGAATCTCACCAGGCAGCCAGCCGTGGGTGCCCAGGTCGGTGTGCCGCGGTCGTGAGGGTTTTGGTCCGGCTCCACCTTGGGGTTTTGCTTCGCTATGCTTCGCTTGAGGAAGCGAGTGTTTTATGCGTGATGTGCCAACAGAATCATGATATCGTCATTATAAGTTGACTAAGTGCACATCAAAGATGACGGGCTGGCTGGTTTTTGCTTATTAATGGTTATATATCGGTTATCCGGGAAGCATGGCGCCCTGCCTCCGAACACCAGAAATACATGGAAATACTAAGAGCATCCAAGAGACAATATCAAGATACGTCAAGTGATCTGCTGAATCCTTTGCTGTGTGGTGTTCTTGTTGGGCTTTGCGGATCAAAGGGGTAAATTGGAACGAGAGTTGAACTTGGCAACAGAGTGAAGCAAACAAACGACTCTGGGAAGCTTGCATCCACTTTATTTTTATGTTTTGCTCCATGTTGCTTGGGGATGTTTTCGCTGGGCCTCGGGTGACTGTAGTGTTCGTGGAACTCACATCTCATGCATCTACCCTTGCCCGCGTCTTTCACGCTCCGATCTCCATGCGGTCGCTCGCCGTCTACGCACGTGGAACGAAGGTTGGGCAATGAAATCGAACGTGTCAAGAAGGAGGATGCTTCACGGCTACAGGAGGCCCTGCAGACATCGAAGTCTTCCCTGCCGTAGTCGGTGGGAATCGCACACACCGGTCCAAGTGTGTTTGTGGTGGGGGGTGCATCCCACACAGGAATCCCCACCATAGAACCTTTTTCAGAATATTTCAATGAATTAGATATGATAGACATGAACTCCACAGCAAATCTCAGGGAAAAGGTGTCCAGTCATTTCCTACTGAATGTCTTTGGTTTTGCCGCAGCTAGAGTTTCGCAACCTTGGAAACCCAAGATCAAACATAGACCCTTATCATTGAGTCTTGAATACTGAATACTCTTGTTTTCTCTAGGCACGCCGCGTGGCCCAATTTCATTCCCTGAGCTTGCTTGCCATACCAAATTGACAAAGCCTTGAATCCCTCTCAAAGTCACAGTGTCAGGAGTACAAGCGCTTGGTTCAAGGCTTGCGACAAGCAGGGCAGTGCCTCAGAGACCAAGCTTGGGGGACATGGGGAGGGGCCCCAACCAACGGGTGAATCGATTTACGTACAGCATTATGGCTGTGACCCCATCGTGCATTAATCGTGCATATGCTATACAACTGAGTGAGCCTGCCCTATTCAAAGCCCAAGGCATTCAGCAGTTTGCGGTGTCCCATTGGATTGGTGTGCATGTATATAACATTTTTTCAACTATATATATATATTATATATGTATCTATAGCTATATATATATATATGTATTGTAGAACTATGGTATGTAACATCATTGTATTTTGACTTGAGCATGTGTCAATGTATGTATGCGCACATGTGCACAGATGTGTATGCAATTACACCGCACCCACGAAATCCAGCAAGCAATTCCTTGTTTCAGCCGCTTTTTTCATGTCTTTATGAAGATGGTTCAACTTCTTCCTGCAGCTAACATGGTTGATTCCCCCCCTGCAGCACGGCGCCTGTCCATGTGTGTCAACCTAAAACGGACAAATCATATCAAGCAGAGAAATCAGAATCCTGGAACCTGTCAACCTTGCCACCCTTTTGGGTGGTCAGCACAAGCTGCCCCTAAATCGATTGGATAACTCCAAACCCACAGTGATTGACGAACAATACGGCAATTCTCTTTGGTCGGGGGCAGCCTCCCCCTCCGGCTGTCCCTACTAAGCCATCATCATTTGATACATTTTGATACGATATTTGCATTTCCGTATCCACTCAGTCAAAGCATTGCCTTTTTCATCTCATCACCCATTCCTTCCGTGAACCTTCTCCACCCCAACATCCCCAGCAGTTCATATTCTGATGTGTCTTTCCCGCGGTTTAACTTGCCAGACCAAAGTCAGGCCTGGAAGAGTGACCAGCACAGTTCATCCGCAGCACCAGTCACCCGAGACCCCTTCCAGTTCTGTGCTTGGGAACTCAATCGGCGAAACCGGCATGGCCGAGCTCATGTGTCGTTGAGGATCGATGAAGCCATGGCAGATCAACTGCAAAGCCCGGTGCTGCCCGAGGACTTGGTCTCCGAAGCCATCCCGGGGCGCCTTGACGGGCGAAGCGGGCGAAAGAGTTTACACCGAAAAGGAAGAGAGGTGAATACGAAAGATGTGGCTTGGGGTGTTCAGAGATTTAGCAAGTGAACGGGGAGTAATGTACGATTAATGTGTATATGTACACGTTATATATATATACGGACATGCATGTATTCAGACCACTATAGATAGATCATAGATCTATATATATATACATCTTACATAATATTTAATATATATATATACCATGATGGTTGGGTGGCCTTTGACGGTGTTTGTTTTTCAAGGTCCTGCTGTTGGAAGAGAATTTCATAATTTATGAGTTCAGTCTTCTGGGTGTTTGTGTGCGCGACTGGTGCTTAGTAGTGTGAGTATACAAGCTTCTTGTTACTACTAGTAAGGCACCTGTTACTACTAGCGTGGCACTTGTTACTACTAGCTTCTTGTTACTACTAGCTTCTTATTACTACTAGTAAGGCTACTAGCGTGGCACTTGTTACTACTAGCTTCTTGTTACTACTAGTAAGGGAATGACCCCAACTATAGATTCCATAGGAACCATTCTCTCATTGCTTCAGAGTCGCACCAGTTAGAGGCCACGGGAGAGCCCCAAGACCGAGGAACATCCGCCGAGCCGAGCATTTCATCGCCCTCTTACGACGTCCCTTGGTTGTTGGGAGGTGCTGGCTGGGAGGTCCTTGGGCCACTTGATCAGGTGTCGCACCCTAGCTCCCGTCTAAGAACACCGGCTACAGATCGGAGCCAAGGCACAGGAGGGTGCATGGGTCATTGCAACATCGATGTTTTCGAGTGGCTCCGTCCACTCTTCAGCGGGACAGCCGGGACAGGCCCAAGACCCCGCAGCTGGTGAGTAGCTGCCAATGACAGGACTTCTAGGACCTCCCTGCAGCTGATGGATGTTTAGGCTTGGAAGCTGCCACTGGTGGTCACAGCAGGTATTCAGTGAGGTGTTGCATAATTTGCGGGGGCAGAGGAAGCTGAAGCTTTCACCTACCTCACCTCAAGAGCGCTCAAGAGCAGCTCAGAGTAGCTTCCAGTTCCCCAGCTGTCCTGGACCTTTGGAAGCTTCATGAAGCTTCCAGATCCCAAGATCAGGTTCAGGAAGTATGTTCCCACCAAAACTGCCCTTTCCACACGATGGGTCATACTCGTCATACCTATAGATGTTTTGTTTTTTAGGCTGCCAGGTTTGAAACATGGAAACATCGTAACACTCCTGCTGATCGCAACGTTCGGACATTGCCAGAGCATCAGAGTTTCACTTCGACCTGTGGCCGCCTGGTCGACGGGTCGACTGGTCGATGGGTCCAGGAATCGTCAACTTCTGCCGACGCTACTTGCACGTGGAGCGCGCGCAGTGTGAGGGTCCACTCTCGATTTGTCACAAACTGGAGGAGGATGCCGACTCTCGATGTATTTGGTGTGGAAGACAATAAGACAGTGGAGCGGTTTGGGTTTGGTACGGGTTCAATAATTTCAAGGTGCCCTGAAGAAACACTGCTGATTTCTGTTATTTCTCATTAATTTCCTTTGTTCGGTTCTGTGTTCCGGTTTTGTTGCCACGTAGATGAGATCTATAGAGATTTAGACTGACTGATCCAGAGTGTAATTGTATAAACATGTTACTGCACAGTGGTTTCAGAGTAGATGGCACTGGCACCCCAAGAGGACTTAGATAGATGGGGGCCCACTACTAAATCCAAACAACTAAGGTGGGGGGGGGGCAGGACTTAGACTGAGACAGACGGGGTCCACTACTACCAAACAACTACTGTACGTATGAGAAGTTGGGGGGTTAAATCATCTACTCTCAATCCACAAGTCAGTCGCATTTCGTTGCACGTGCGGTCCTTCCTTCACCTCGAAGTGCCCTGCCCGCTCTTCGGGTCTTCACTCGCGGGTCAGGCTGAGCGCTCGGGTCAGGAGCCCCGTTCGTAGCGTCCTAAATGAAGCTATTTTTGGGGTTTGCAGCGGCTAATTTCAGCTGTCATTAATGGGTTTTCCTTCCATGTACTGTCGTGACCTTTCTTGCCCGACACAACTCAAAAGCGCCGCACCGCCTGAGGAGGTCGACTCCAAATCGCTGAAGTTTTGTCACGAACGGCTGCGATCTCTGCCGCCAGACCGGCACGGGGGCAGATGACGGAGCTGCGGGTGATGTATTCTGCACCTGCAGGTCTAGAGTCCAGCGAAGTAATTGTATGATGATGCTTTAAGGTGTTGAGCTTTTTTGGTTGTCTTGTGGATGTGCAAGAAGTGTTGAGGATCACAAGAAGTGTTGAGGATCAAAAGGCGCACAGAGAAAAGAATAGGTTTACTCGCTGGAATGGGAAAACATACTATGTTTGCTGGCTGGACGGCACAGCACATCCATCGAAGATGAGAGCATTGCTACAGTCCTGCTTTTCAATTTGTGGATTGCTTTGGTACATCAGCTATGACACCTGCAGCAAGCACTGTGTTTCCATCGAACGTCATCAAACCTCCGGATCTTTCAACTTTAAGGCTGTTGGTTGATCAGTTCTGGAGTCTGAAAGCATCTCACGAAGAACAGTTAGCCATGACGCACCTGACTGATGCCGCACCATGACTGACTGGTGCGGGTTCACAACACGGTGCGCGGTCGACCGAGGCTGAACACGTTGCAAGTGTCTAACCTCGAGGAGTTCACGCCCATCACCAAGGTGGCCGACTTTGCTGCTTGGCAAGAGCACATGTTGGAAACTCGGTGGCTTTGGACATCGGGGGAGCTTGAACCACTGGAACTTGACAGCTGTCACCTTGAATCTTGCCAAGGACATCTTGTAGCAAGTCTCTTATGTTGCAAATGACCCTGCTCGCACCTCTTTGGCCTTTGAACGTGTTGAGACCTCCGAGTCCGACCATGGGATTTTCAAGTGCGCCTTCCTGGTGGCAGACGGGTCAAAACAACTTAATGATCTTAATGACCACTGACAATCTCACTAAATCACTGAGGCCTTCGTTGATTCATTGGTACATGTTTGATGCCAAATTAAGAACCACAGATTCTTTTGCTTTCAGTAAACCTCTCGCAATGTTCTCTGAGAACCATGCAAAGTTGAACCACTGTAATTTTGCTTCGCGCGCTCAAGAAGTTCCAGAGAACTGCTCTTGCTGTATCTCAAGAAGATTCAATAAGTTCATTCAACCGTATCGGTCCCAACTACCTGTAATATACACTGGGGTGCCGAAAGTTGCACTTTGACTTAAAAAACGGGACAAACCCTTTCCCCTTAGAATCCTACGTGCAACATGTCGACGCCTAAGTTGCGGGCAGATTTCCACACCTGAAAGCCTTATAAAAACAGGTGTGGAAATCTGACCGTGCTGTACCTGCCAGGCAAAATGGACGTGTCAATCCGATCTGCTGTAGACCGCACGTGTCATGTTGGAACAGAGTAAGAAGCGTAAACTTTAGGGTTCTTGAAGTATGGGCAGCTTCCAATCAATCTCAGATCTCTGAGATGCTAAACGCTTCAGCCCTTGCACACGCACACGTTTGCACGGCCGTTGAGGTGACCCTTCTGGGAACCTATTCCCAGGGTTTCACCATCATCGTTGACCCTTATCCAGAAGCACAAGGCCAGGAATTGAGATATATAGTGAATTAATCAGAATTGACACATACAGTCATATAATGTCACATATATATATATATATACTATACTCGCACAAGGTCAACTTATGTCACATTCATTAATATACAGTATAGATTCATCATTGCGAGCTGAACGCGGCCTGGAGTGACTGGCCGGCCGGCCGGCATGTGATAGCAGACCAGGTTGCCAGCGCGGTCTTTCTTGTTTGGGACTGCGTCACGGGGTTGATTGTTGGCACCGGCCAAAGAAGGAGAAGTACCGAACTGAGAAGAATTGGATTCCATGTCGCCCAAAGCATTCAGTTGTTGAGATTTGAAGCTGGAATTGCTTTGGTGCCACAGGCAGAGGTCAAGTTGACATGATCGAAGTTCCAGATCCGCACAATCTTGCTTCACGAGGGAGGTTGTATGGGACCGGGGACCACCAGAAGTAATGAACAAAAAGTAACAAAAGATCCACTGCAGTCCGCAGTCCACTGCGAATAGGATGCCGAAGAGGCTAATGTTCCCCGTGTCGGTTCCTTTACCTCAGAGACCCAGTGTGCGGCACGCCCTGGACCAAGTGGAGGTAGTCCATGGGTGACCCGCAACACAAAATTTGAGTGCGTCTTCCAATTCCCTTTTGTGGGAGGAAGGCTGTGGCCAAAAGGATTCATTTTCCCGACAAGAGGGACGACTGTAGAACCTGTAGGACCTGTAGCGGTAACAGTCTTCATACACCAATAATATGCATTACGGTGGTGAAAGCATGTGACAAAGAGGTGTTACATGCATGGTCAACCTCATCACTGTTCTTCCTGCCAGGCATCTACGACCCCACCTTGATCTTACGATGTTTGGACGCGTCGATCGCCATTCGCCCGGTCTTGAAGCGGTACCAGTCGGTGGTGCTGACCTCTGGAACCATTTCACCCCTGGAGATGTATCCCAAGCTGCTCGAAAGGGCAAGGGATGGGGGGTGATGGCAAGTGACCCCCACATATAGGTAGTAAGTAGTGGTAGAACAAGGGGCGCAGGGGGAATCTCCATTGAAGATGAATCGGAACTGGAGTCCTTATATGTCCTTAATTGTCCTTATATGACATATATATTTTATATATAGAGAGAGAGAAGGAGATTCCTGAAAGTTTCAGCATTTTACCTTAAGCCTTAAGTAAGGGGATAAGTGCTGTTTCGAGGCCGAGCAAGTGTTTTCTGGAATTGTGTAGATTTATTTAATCAACAAACCTCTTCTTGAACATACGGCATTCAACAACCACCTGAAACATGATGCTCCAATCGGAAATCCGGAGTCGGTGGTCTGCTCCAGTGCTTTTTGCTGGGATGGAAAAATTCGTTATGTCCACCCAATAGGACTGACTATGGGCCAGCCTGGGTTATTTTGAAGGATTCTCTTTGGGTTGTCCTGGAACTCCTCTGCCAAATCCTTTCAAAACCAGGATCTCTCGAACATCAAGCTAAAGATTCGCAACGATTCGCTAGCAGCGACAGTGAAAGCCATTTAGCATGCTAAACACTGCTAAACCATGTTCAATTAGAGCGTTTGTATACTTGAGGATGGCTGCACCACCCCTCTACCCAACCTCATGAGCATGGACCATGAGCGCTGAGGATTTTGGGCATGTCCAATGTGGTGGCGACTGAATCCTTTAGCATTACGATGGAGAGGAAGTGCCTATGTCCGCTGATCGTCACCCATGGCCCCGATCAGGCCCGAGGTGACCAGGGGAGTGGAAGGCAACGGTGAGGAAGCCTATTGAGACCTTTCTGTGAAGGAACAGTTGACTGAACCCTCCAAGTGTCCAGTGTCCCGGACCATATGCCGCGATATTCCATTTGCAATAAGACCGAATAGAAGGCACTGTTACTCTACACGCACCCTTGTTGGAGATTAACCCCCCCATCCACCGAGCGAATGACTTTACGCAGACGGGTCACTTCCAAAAGATGCAAAAACAGTTAACACATCTACACTGACACTGGCCATGGACACTCTTCTATTCGTGAACCGGGGATCGACTTCCCGCCATTTGACGATCCCGTCTTTGAAATCAATGAAGACATCAGTCGACTTGCAATCGCTTTGCATAGAATGACTGATTCGCATCATTCTTTGGCATGGCATGGCTTAAATTCCGCCCCTGCCCCCTGTGGCTTGCACCAGGGACACCGGAGAGGTTGTGGATGAACCTGTGTGTTTTTGGTTTAGGTCTGAAACATGCTAAGATTGCATGAGCCCCCTAAACCTAGGCCTCATGGTTTTTAAAGAAGGCCAAGAGTGTGTTTAGCTTCCGGAAGTGCACCCCAGAGCTATTGCTGGTGCGAGCACGGTCTCTCCAGCAACTCAGTCAGGGATCTCCACGCGGTGACGCGGGGCCCCCTGACCCCCATCCTTGAAGATCCTTTAAGCTGTTCTTGGAATTTGTTTTCCCTACTACTGGTAGAAGCGAACAGGTGGAAAAAATGTACATTTGATTACTGTATATTGATACTAGTTTGTATTTTAGATTTCTTTTTGGTTCCGGACAACTGAGGGAGTCAGCCCGGCTTTTTTCAGGTGCCCATCTCATCCCGCTTCAGTCTTCGAGAGGAGTTCTAGCCTGTCCATGGTGGTTGGGATGAATCATGGGGCGTGCGTGCTCTATGGGGGCGTGACCTCCAAACTGAGTCATTCCCTGTCAGGATGTTGAGCACAACACTGGCAAATATCCCATTTAAATAAGTACAATAGTAGACAAAAAATATATCAAAGAAATACATTAAACACTTGCATGTCAATGCCAATAGACCATTTCAATGCATGACCCTTTTCGATGCTTTTGTGAGTCCAGTCTTCATTGGGCGCACTGGAAAAATTCTTCGGATCTGATCCAATCGCCCATCGGCGATCGTGTCCAGGATCCCAGTGTGGTGCAAAACTATGGAAGTCTACTAGAGCAACTGGTGCAGACGGTTCCTGACGGCCTCGTGCTTCCGGCAGCAGGTGGCGAGGATTGGCGAGGATGAAAGCCCGAGTTTGGGGTTTCGTGGGTGTTGCTCGATGCGAGGAAGCAGGCTTGACAGATATAGATGCGAGAAAGAACATGTGAGGCCTTTGAGTTGGCAAAATGTTCTTGACACCTTCCGTGGAAGATGTTTCGCATGTCATTGTCCTTTTCTGGGTGGTGTGAGAGTTGTTTGATTCACCAATTGCTTCAATCCATGCCACATAACAATAATCGACAAACTTTGCCAACCATGAGGGAAAGATATTTACTACAGACTATATAAGAAAACAGACACTCCATGTATTGGAATATATGCCTACATGCGCTCCCCAAACCCCATCCCAATGTAGGCAAGTATGGCAATACATGGAGTGTGTGTCGGTTATGTTATGTATACATAGACTAATTATTTGTGTCTAATGATTCGTTGTTTTCTTCCGCCGTGCCTCTCTGGGGCTCGAATACCTCCAACGGGAGCCCAGTCCCGGCGCCATGGAGCCGATGGCGGAGCCGCGCCACGTTGCGCAGCGAAACGCCGCGCTGGGCTCGCGGCCGGGAGACCTGTTCTCAGCGTTGGAGACTGGGCGAAAGCCCCAAGAAGGGGCTGTTGGGAATGGGGGCAGCTGAGTCAGCTGGTGAAGTGTGTGAGTAGGTTATGGCGGGTACTGTAGTTTCTATGGAACTGCTCTTCACCACACCTTGCAGAATCAAGTCATTTGACTTAAGTTCTGACTTGTGTAGTTGCAAAAGCCTTTTGGGGAAGAAAGATCGTGCCAATCATCCGCACACTGCTTTCTTTGACCATAGTCCATGTCAAAACCCAGAGAGGTTTCACCTGTGCTTCATCATGTTCTTTCCGAAGACGACTTGGTCAGTCGTGCAGATGAGAAGTTGGCGGGTTGGAACACCCCAAAGCTTTTTGCATCCACCAAGTCCACTTGTTCATCGTTCACCTGGAAGACATACTCATGTTCCGGTTAGGCCCGCTGATGCAACATCTTTGATTGAAGGGGCTAGCGGCTAGCTAGGAGGTGGGGGGGGGCCATCAGCACTGTTCCATTGACTTCGAGACGGGATTTGTTCGTGCATGTTTGTTTGAATTCATCATGTTCCCGGTTCAGCTCCATGACTTTCAGGGAGTCCGGATGTCTACAACCCTGAAGTTTGATTGGATTTGGTGTTTGACTGCCCCTCCACATGCCCAATTGGTTGTCGTTGGTTGTGGGCAAATTCAGATGCTTGGCGGGAGATCAGCTGAAAGGGTGCTTGCACGACTGGAGTCATACCATGTTATATGTCCACCACCTGTTTTTGGGCCACTGTGTCACACTGTACTAGAACTTAAGACTTAGTAGGGTTTTATGTTATTTTAGCTTTTCATGAAACTTCTCGGCTCTTGAGGACACCAACAACGATGGCGTCTTGACTCGAGAAGAGATGGCTGCCCTGCACATGGGCCACCTGCAGGGGCACATGGGACCTGGCGGCGTGCCAGGCACAACTGAGTTGATCGTCGATCCGTCCGGATGAATAGAGACAGCGGACATTCCATTTGAAACAGACTGTGAAGACAGCACCCAGAAGAGCACAACTGGATTTGGATAAGCGCACTTCTGATGGTAAGAAGATCATGTTCGCAATATTCCACTTTGCCTCATGTTGCTTTGAGGTGCTCAAGCCGGTGCGGTCACCTACGCCGCGGGCGCGAACGCCCCGCGGATGGCGGCGATGATGCCCATGGCGCCAGTGACGCAGCAGATGGCGCCTGTGACGCATGTTGCGCCACCTGTGACGCTGCCACCAGTCACACAGGTAGCCCCACCGGTGACGCAGCAGCTACCACCTGTGACAGCGGTGGCTTTGATGGCAGAGATGACGTGTTCACCTTTGTTTGCTACTGACTCCTAATTTCAATGACCCCTGTCGGGTGGTCGCACGGGAGAAACCAGCTCGTTTGTGTTTTGATGTGTTTTGTTAATTCGGTGGTGTGTTGCTCACAGCACGCCCGCACCCGCAAGCATGACTTAACATGTGCATAAGCCTGCTTGGCCCCAGAATGCCCTAGAGTCTATCTCAGGTGGTCACAGCTCCTCCTCAGCATGTGGCAGTGAGACCCCCGGTCCAACTCATTGAGAAGATCGTGGAGGTGCCACAGGTGGAGGTGCAAGAGAAGTATGTGCCACTGCTGAAGTTCTAAGTGCTGAACGTTTGTGCCAAATCTCATGGACCCTCCGTCTACTGTGGGTTACTCTTTTCCAAGACATGGGTAGATTTTTGTTTTTTTTTTTTTTTGTGGAAGTGTGGAATCCCGAACGCGCATTTCTCCTTCCATACCACCGCTTTTGAAATTTGATTGAAAAAGAGCGGTGTCAAAACGTCAGAGGCTGTCCCACCTGTCCCACCCGTCCATGTCCGACCTGATTTTCCAAACGGTGGGCGTAACTAGAGGCTCAAATAGTCGGACAGGGGGAGGGGACTGGTCACCACATCAGAAACACAATGAAACACATGACTGGGAGGGTCCAGCCAAGTCATGCCAAATCAACTTGGTTGAAGTTTCCGACTTTCGTAACGCATGTTTTTGGGGCAAGGGGTTCCTGAAGATCAAACAACAGCTGGGCAGCCGAACCGGCACGTTTCCAGGGTGTAACCAGCTGTCCGCTGAACCCGAACTTTTCGTAGATGAAGCATCATGAGCAACTAGATGACATGGCGACGACAGGCGTTTTTCTATATACGATATACATATATACAATACTTTATATACACGTAATATCACGTAATCCTTGTTTGGGTGTTACGCTTGGTCGAAGGTTTGGACGGACACTTGACCAGAATCGAGGTGATCACTTCCTTTTCTAAGTCTTTTTTTTGTGGCTGGCTCGGCACGGGCGCCAAGGTAGATATCCCGACGACACTGCGCCTCGCTTCAGTTTGAGCTGGAATGGGAATTGACCATGTGAACTGAGCATGGGAATTGGTCATGTCATCGGGTCAGTTTCAGGCAAGGGAAAAAGGCAAGGCCAGTTGTTGAAAAAGATTGTTGCTAATGATGACCCTCGGTCTAGGCAAATCTTCTGAACTTAGAGAATTGGAAGTGAGTTGAGTTGAATTGCCATTGAACTGGGATCCTTTTTCCAGTTGGCAAGCAGGAGCAGGAAAGTGATACCAACCTGGTCTGTTTCTGCTGCAACCTCCACAAATCCCACCAGGCTGAATCCCAGCAACACGGTTTCATGCCTGTTAAAAATTCCACATAACTCAAAGAAGGCTATAAAAGTGGTGTGAATCAGGCTCTTGAAGAAGACTCGCTTCGACGGCTACATAGGTCGTTTGGAGATTCCAGGTACCAGGAGAAGGTCGTGGAAGTCCCAAAGGTTCACGTGGCAGAGGTCACGAAGCAGGCACACCATGACGCCATAGCTGAAGACCACTGCGCACTGCTTCTCGTGGCGCACCCGAGACGATGAGCGAGCCAGGGGAGAGACCCTTTCTTTTCAATGTGTTTGTCCCAAACATGTTGACTGTTGGGGGTTCTCTACCAACGTCGGGGTGCCTGGCAGGTCCCCAGGATCGAAGTGCAGGAAGTGATCAAGGCAGTGGGACCGCTCCGGTGGTTTTGTCATATGGGGATGGGTCAAAGCCTGGAGCCATCCTGGAACCAGGTGAGCCAAGGTGTGTTTTTGGGGTTTTGACCCACATTAGATGGCCCATGATAGCCCTACACCACCAGAATGCCATGAGGATGATTCTTTGTACCCATCAAATCCGCTCACAAGCCCAGCCATTTTAGATGGAGGATTTGCACACATCACACACCGCCAAGATCCCCGCATGACCTCTATATAGTCGTCTTGGTTTGAAACCTTGGGACACCCAAATTGGGGTACTTGTACCAAAAGGTTGAGCTTGGAGTGGTATGTGTGTTTGTGATGTTCATGGAGCAGTCCCTTGGTATGCCAACTGTCAGCGGTATGACCGGCATGTTCGTTCGGACCAGTCCCTTTTTGCTCTTCCGATGTGCCAAGTCGACTCGGCTTCTTTGAGACAGTCGCCGAATGGGCAGGAAGTGGCAAAGCCAATCACTGAAGTCTATGAGCGCACAGTGGAGGTGCCACAGAACTTGTATCTTGACTGTCCTCAGGAGTACTCTTAGACCCTTAGTCTTTTTGGTTTAGAAGGGATTTCTTACCAAGCCACTAAGGACTAAAGACTAAAGCTTAAAGGCTTAGCAAAGGACCTATGGACAGCCAAGGTACGTGGAGAAGCTGGTGGAAGTGCCCAAGCTTCGGGCATCTGGGCTTTCAATCATGCACGGGTCTTCGAAACGAAGAAACGACACGCCGCTTAGTCTTTTTCTCCCCCCTTCTGGGCAACGCAAAAAGAAACAAGTACTGCACATGCTCCTGAACGAGTATTTCAGGCATGGCTCCGTGCTTCAAGGATTTTCCGCATGAGTTCTCACGGTTCGCAGATGTTTTCAGGAGTCTAGTCCACTGAATTTGGGAAATGTGTCGAGTTTGTTTAACGTTTAAACAACTGCATGACTTGCCCTTCCCGGAAGGTGGTGGATGTCCTAAAGCAAGTGCCAAAGCCTGTGATGAGGCAGGTGGAGAAGCAGGTGGGGACAGCCACATGCCAGGGCTGGCGATACCATCAATTCTGCAAAGGATGCAGATGTTTATACAAAATGTCAGGCCGGTGCTGAGCAGAATGCCCTCAGCTCGACCCCGTTGCAAAATAGGTTACCAACAAAACTCATGCTGCTCGCGCATAGACTGAAAGTCCAATGTTTCATTGCTTTCTAAATAGCGGCTTGATTCTTGTACTGGTCAGTCTACTTCTTATGTAAAAATTATGTATACAATGCAGGAGATGGGGAACATACTTCTTATATATATATATTCTTATCATACCAGTTTAAAGCTCCCAAGCCACAGGTTCGGAGCCGATGTTGGGACTACACTGCAATAAGAATCATTTTGATGTGTATATGTCAATCGTATACGCAACCTGCACCAGTAGGTAGATGTTCAATTCTTGAACCCTTTGGGACAGACCACAAAA